ACAATCATTAAATAATTTTATCATTTTAATAACTCAATCATTAAATTCTTCAATGATATTGATGTGATTTTTTATGAAATAAAATAATTTTTTATTCATTAAAATAGAGCTTATTTTGACATGAATTTTGTTGAATTCATCTGAATTTAATAAATTTCGATCTAATCATATAAAATAGTCAAAATTAACATGGGGGAAGGATTTTAAAAGTTGGATAACAATTAGACATTTTATTTTGATAATTTAATATATATTTTATTTTGTCAAAGTCCATATTGAATTCAACGATTGAATGATTGAAATGATAATTTTCTATAATAATAGTAACGAAATTGGAACGATTCTCTTTGATAACTAATATGAGAGCATCTTAAAAGTTGAGTGACCATTAGGGAAATTTACCCTAGAAATTTGTAATGGTAAGATAGAGATAATGTAAATATAAATAAACTGCAGCCCGATCCCATAAAATACATGAGCGTGCATTACATATGCATAAAAGGATGGAACGTGATTGGACAGTGTTTCTCACGTCAATAAAAATGGAGTGAAAGAGAAGACAGTGACACGTAGGTAAAATGCAAAATGGCGTGAAAGGGACAAAGGCACAAAGCCAGTCGCGGAACCGTACTGCATACACCGCACAGAAACTACGGTTAAACTGATCGAATCCGGTGATTGCGCTGCCCGTACTCATCGTTTTCTTCACTTTCCCATTTTTTTTACATTTTCTTAAATTTAATAATGACAAATTTTACTTGAATAAATAAATTAACATTGTAGTTGTTTGAATTCCAAGAAAAATTATATAATTATTTTATTTTTTAGTTGTACTCTCAATTCTTTAAGATTTTATATTAATTAATTCAAATCTTATTCTTAATTTTAATAAATTAGTCTCTTAACAAAAATTTTATGTATACACAATGCCACCAAACTGATTACTACTTGAATTAATCTCGTTAGCACTAAAATTATTTTATTTTTAATACACTTACAACTTACATTGAATTTGATTTAATTTAAATTTTATTTATTAAATAAATTACAAATTTACTTATTAAACTTTACTTCATTTATTATTTCACTCATTGTACTTTTAATCTTTTCAATTTAATAACTAAACTTTATATCTTATATTTTTTATCACTTCGCCATTAATTATCTAATTGTGCGTTATGTCGTGGATAACTTAAACAATTTTTAATCATTAATTTCCAGATAAAAAAAGGTTTAATTAAATTATTTTCAACTCTTTTCTCTTCTACTTCAAACCTTATTTTCATATCTGCATTCAACCACCACAATTAGCAGAGCTTCCTTCCCATTATGCCCTTCCCGGCCAACACCTCTCCCTCCGTGGAAACCCGCGACCTCCTTGCTTGTGGAACCAACGTTGGTGTAGGGATCTTCGCCAACATATTCCACGGTATATTTGCCACCACGTGTCTCACTACAGACGAAACTCAAAACAACCGCTCCACCAATAACCACAACGTTTTAGCACTCTACGGCATGTCAAAACCCATCGGCATCGCAAAAGAATTCGTCGGGGCTCAACACCCCTTTCAAATCGTCCACTGATTCCTACTTCCATTTGATGAATTCCCAGTAGCATAATAAAACAAAATATTCCTTTAGCTTTCAAATCCATAACAAAATTGGAATTTGTCAGCAAAAACGCAAGGTTTGGAGCAGAATTCACATTACAAATTAAAGGTTCCTTCATGTGATTCAATGCCTTAGATCATATGTCACTTTAGACAATATGGGAACCACAACGACATGCATAGCAGCATTATTAGGAGGATGCAAATGAAGGGGATAAAGGTTATGATTAGATTTAATAATGGGGTAGAATTGAGTTTTTATTGGATGTTAATGGGACGATGGGGGTAGAATTAGGGGTGGAGAGGCATAACGCCGGTGGTCGGAAGGTGGCCTGAAAAGAAGGATAGATCGAAGACGCCTGTAACGGTTGAAGTGTGATGAGGAAGGAAAAGGGGGAAAAAAAGAGTGAACAATAAATGGGGATAATAAAAAAAATATAAATAGTATTAATAAAAAAATAAATTGGTTAAAAAATAAGAAACTAAACATATCATCACATATTTAAAGAGAAAACGGAGGAGAGATAAGAAAATCAAGGTTTAAAGTTCAGTGATTAAATTGAAAAGATTAAAAGTATAATGGATGAATTAAGAGAGTTCGATGAATAAATTTATAATTTATCCTTATTTATTTTATTAATAAATTAAATATGATAATATATGGTTTACCCATGTATGATAATAAAATTGTCATTTTGATCTTTATATTATATTTCCAGTCATTTTGATCTTGTTTCTTTCATTCAATTCATCACTTTAGTATATTGTATTTAGTTGTTTAATAAAAGATGATGTGAACTAATGAGATGATATCATATGTGAAAATGATTAAAATTATTTTAAATTTTAAAACAAATCCTAAGAAATCCCACAAATTTTAGAATATGTGTTTGCAAATTCTATATATTTTTTCATAAGTAATATTTAATATCATTTTGAAAAATACATAGTTATAAATTCATTAAAACATAATTTTTTTAATAATTCATAAAAGGGAATTTTCTGTGAAAATTATATTTTCAAGTTTCAAACATTTTTAAAGAAATTTCAAGTTTTCTTAACAACTTTATGAATTTCTATTTTTTTCCAAAATAATTAAGCATGATTAAAATTTTCAAAAAATATAATTTGCAAAAAAATACAATTCTGAATTTTTTAGATTTTTAAATATTTTTATTTTATTTTTCTTCATTTGTTTAGATTTTCTATACTTTTTTAATTATTTTGACACATGGTAGTATTTCATTGGACCAATTTTAATAAAAAAAAATAGAGGCCAAAATAAGCACTAAACCAACAAATATGTATATTATGGGATAAAATTCACTTAGCGTAAATTTTATTAGTTTCACACAGATTTAGGATAATTGAATGAGTGAAAACAATCGAGATTAATTCATTGGTTTTTTTCCCTAGTGAATATCTTTATATTTACTATTGTTAATCTCAATCGTCTATTTCTACTCATCAAAATATCCTAAATCTATATAAACTAAAATAAATTTATACTATATAATTGGATCATATTCCTTGTATTATTGTCAATAAATATCTAAAAGAGAGCAAACTGAAGGAGACATGCCTGAGTAATATATGGAGGTTCAAATTTGATTGTCAATCAAATACTTCATTTAAAATGAAAGCATTTTCCCTTCAAAATTGCTTAATTAGATTTGCTATGTCGCTAATATTTCTAGTTAACATTCCCACAAGCAATACCAAGTGCATGTCATGTGTGTATAATACTATATATATATATATTTGGTTGTTTATTCGATTTCCAGAGTTTTGTCGTGATTAATGTTATACATTAAGTTTTTGTGGATGAATTTCCTAGTAAAATATTTTTTATACATAAGGTCTCGAACTCATGACCTACTTAACCAATATCATGTTAATTACTACTTAAACTAACCCCGCTAGTTGTTATAGTATAATTTTAGTCACACTAAAACGTCGAACCAATTAATATAGCGAACATTATACTAAAGTTTTATTAATTAATTACCCAATTACTACTTAAACTAATCCCGCTAGTTGTTATAGTATAATTTTAGTCACACTAAAACGTCGAACCAATTAATATAGCGAACATTGTGCTACAGTTTTATTAATTAATTACCCCATAATAATAATTATTTTTCGTGCTATGTAGAAACTCTTTCACTTACAAGTTTTCTAGTTTCAATTAATTGAATTGAACTTATCCAACCTATATTTTAAAATAATCTAAATCTGAATGATTTTAATAAAATAATTCGAAATTACTTGAATTTTCAATTATGCATAATTGTGTATAATTTGTTTTAATTTAATATAAATCATACATATAACATGAATCAATTGGACCTTGGGATGAATGGTTGAACCCAAATAATATGATTGTCATTATATTATATTATGACAGTCATTAATAAATAACTTTAAAATCACTTAAATAAATATATTTTTAATGAATGAAATCATAATTTTTATTATCAATGTTTTAATATATACAGCGATACATCAAACAGTTATCGCATTAAAGTAAACATTTCCATTAATATTTTTGGGGAAAAAGGATTCATGGAATTGATGTTTAAGCTTTATCTAAGCTTAATCGGTTACATCATTCCTTCTTCACCTTTCCGTCCAAACAGCCTGGGGTAAGCCAAACATCCACTAATTTGATTTCCTAACAATTCATTAATAGCTTCTATTTAAGCTTTGAATAAAATTAAGGGTAAAGTATAAAAATGGTCTCCCAACTATAGTGTATTATTTGGTTGTGTCTCTCGACTATTAAAAATTTTAAAATGATCCATCAATTATAAGATGTTGTTTTGTTGAGTCCCCTGACTATTAAAAATTATAAAATGGTCACTCAACTATTCATATATTCCAAACTCGTCATTTTTCGGTAAAAAAAATAACGGTCATCTGACTTAGACGATTGGTTGAAATATGATAATTGTTTGAGATTCTGAAACGAGATTTTAAAGTATCTCAATTAGCAGATTAATATCTAACTCAGATCGTCATTAATATTTTAACGGAAAATGACGATTTTGGAACATGTGAATAATCAAATTATTATTTTATAATTTTTAATAATCAAACGACTCAAAAAAAAAGAACCATATTATAAGAGTAATAAAATAAAACAACACTTTAAAAATATTTGATTTTTAAGATGTCATAGAAATGGACAAAATTTTATTGAATAAATGTCTAGAACAACAGTTGGGATTCATTGGTCACTGTTCTGTAATTTTTTTTATATATAAAAAAGATTAAACAGTACCTGCCAAGTACGTCCTACCTGTACCCCCCCCCCTCCCACTCTCTCATCATCATCGCCTTTTTATGGGTATCTTTTCTTTCGTTCTTTATTCATTTTCTCTCTCTTTCCTTTCCTCTCTATCTATATATTCCCTTTCTCCCTCATTTCCCCTTCTTTCAATCAACTAACCAATTCCATTACACTCTGATCATTTCTTTGCAGTTTGCGTTACGCATCTAGATGAAGCAACTGATCCGCCGTCTCTCCCGCGTCGCCGATATCTCCTCCCAGCACAACCTCCTCCGCTCCGACGCCTCCTCCGCTTGCCATCGCACCGCCACCACGTCTCGAACTGAATCTTTCCGTTTCGCGGTGGTTAAGCAGCAGGCACCGAGGTCAGTCCCCCAGGGCTACGTCCCGGTTTACGTCGGGGAAGAGATGGAGCGGTTCGTTGTCAACGCGGAGCTGCTGAACCACCCGGTTTTCGTCGGTTTGCTTAACAAGTCGGCTCAGGAGTACGGATACGAGCAAAAGGGGGTGCTTCATATTCCGTGTCACGTGCTGGTTTTTGAACGGGTTATGGAAGCATTAAGATTGGGGGTTGACTCACGTGACCTCCAGGATCTCCTTCGATCTTTCTCCGACGACTGTTTTTACGATTTCTAGGCAGAGAAACAGGAGCGAAACGAAGTCATTTTGTTTGTTTGTTTGTTTTTCCATTGTAAATATATGATGTTAGAGGAAAACGGAAGAAATTTAGGGCTTTTAAAGTGCGGTTCTTCAAAGGAAAGCAAATTCCTTTTTTGCCCTATATTTTCTTGTGTCAAATTTAGTTTTCTGTTTGGCAGTTAAGAAAATCACACTTGAAAGGAAAGTGAAGAAGTTTGAGCTGCCATTTAATATGTCAAGCGGTTTTAGAATGCTGCATTTTGCCTGTGTTTTTGTTTTTTCCAATGAAAGCTGAAAGTGAAAATTGGACGGACTTTTCGAAATTTGGATTTCTTTTATCGATTCTTTCTTTAATTTTCGCGACATCCAAACAAAAGGTAGAAGAATGTGTTTCGGGGCAGCTCTATATGTGGAACATTAGGTGGCTGTTTTTCTACTACCGATGTTACAGGTGCGACGAGAGGGGTATTTTGGGAAGGTTTGTGTGGACCAATGGCATAAAATATTTGGTAAATTACATAAATGATCACCAAAATTTTCAATATCTTACATTTTGGTCATCCAACTTTTAAAACTTATAATACAATCACCGAATTTTTAGTTCATTTTTAATAAAATCTCTGACGTTATCTTATATTAGTTTTATCTGATGTGACACGTTATTGTTATTTTTTCGTCTTCCATCCTCGAATCTCCACCGGCCTCTTTTCCATCCTCCTCCTCCATCTCTGACTCGGTCGGACTATCCCTCATCTCAACAAAACCAGTGGACATATTCAAATAAACTTGCGGACTTGTAAACACAAACTCCCTAGAATCCATTCCACAAGCCAACCATGATTCTTGTTGCCTAAACGAATAAGAACCCAGCCCCAGTGACATCTCCATTTTCCTAAAAAAAACATCCATTTAGTTGAATTCAACCCTATTCTCGCTGCTTTCGACTTCTCTTTCTTAAACTTCCTCTTCAACCCATCGATCATACGCCTACACTGGGATTCATTTTTCACTCTTCAAAGCATCATTAACTCTCAGCTACATCAACCTAATATTCAACCCTTAAACTCCTTATCCCTAATTACAAAGACCTGTTCCCTCAAACTTCTAATAGAACATAAATCTCATGTTGTGACCAATCATATGCAGTTTAAAGCTATCTCTAGGGTCGGGTGTGTATTGGAAGCTGGGGACTGAAGTTCTCAGCTTCTTCCGCTTTGGGTACCTTTCAAAACGCCTGCTTTCTCTAACACGATAGTAATATACATCTGGGTCATCGTTTTTATCGTCATCTACGTCGTTGTTTTCATATTTGTTATATCAATTGATTTTATATGCTTTGGACATTTGGATTTGATTAGCGAATTGAGTTCGGATAATTTTCTCACGACTTTCGATTTTGATTTCCGATTTTCGGTGGTCTTTCGGTAGTTAAATCTTCTATTGTGGTTTGTTCACTAATGCAATTGATATAATCATATCTATATTTTATTTAAGTTTTTTGGATGAATTTTTAATATTTTCCTTGTATGATCTTAAGCAGCTTGTTTCATATGTCAATGATTATATGAAATGTCCTAATTAATATAATATAAAATTAATTAATTTTTTAATGTAAAAATAACTATTTTTTTAATATAGACTTATTTATAATTTAAAGTTAAAATATAATTGAGGATATAATATCATTTATAAAATTGTTTAAATTAATTTTTATTCAAATATAATTATCGTATTATTCTTTTTTAAAATTTAATAAAAATATTATATTTATAATTAAATATTAAACATTTACTATAAACTTTTAATTGATAATAAAATTGATAATTTAATTTTTTTATCAAATACGACACACTATTTTTTTTGGGATCGGATCAATACAAAAAATGCTACAAACTATAATATGTCACGATAATTAAATTCAAATAAAATAAAACCAAAATGATAACATTGACAAACGAAAAACATGTTATTTTTATAAGAATATATAAATAATTATATATATATTTGATTGAACTCATATCAAACTTAACCCGAATTGACCATGAGATCCAAGATTGAACCTAAAACGACTATTTTAATATTGACCAAACCTAAAAATGAACCAGTCTGATTTTGGCTATATTTGAAAATTTATTGATTTGATATTGTTTCGAATTAAAAATCAACTGATCTCATATTAATCCAAACCGAAAAGCAATCAATTTAATATTATCCGATCCGATATTCAATTCTACCCGACTTAGCATAGACCCCGAACTAAATTCAAATCTTAGATTATCTGACCCTTGAATCAAATATATTTCAACCCGAAATAACACGGTCCAAATCCGATCCGAGTCACACAATTACCACCTATAAATATATCAAACTAAATGAACAATCATTTATACAAAAATGGGTGCATCTCACTCATTTAAATTTGATCCAAATGATCCTTCAAAAAAAATGATCCAAATGGTATATATAATCACTCTTTTTAAAATATATATAGTTATATTGACTGGCGAGAAAATTATAATCTCGGATGAAGTTCCTCTTCCCCAAATTTTGCAGCAAAATTTGGAGGCGTCTCAACATGTTTGTAATCAAGCTTTGGTGTTCAGCTTGCTAAACGAAACCCAGGAAAAAAAAGCATTTTATTTTTTTAGGAAACAAGTGACATGAACAACTATAAGATTACATTTTAATAATTTAGATTATATTAGATTTTAATATGTTAATATATACATTTTATATTTATATGATGTAATGAAATTGTCTTAGAAATCATAGATGTCAACATAAGATTATGATTGGGGAGTAGGTTTAAGAGAAAGCACAACTTAGAAGCAAATAGAGACGTTGGAGAAACAAATATCCACATTTTTTTTTCATTTTCTTCATCTATAAAACGTAAAACAAAAAAGAGTCATTATCACCAACAACTTAAGATTATATCAATTGATTGAGGCATTTAACCAACCAAAATTTATAGTCTTCCTCCACACTTAATGTTTTTTAATCGCATAGTACGAACCAAACGATTCTGGTGGTTAAAGGATTATTGTTATTCTTTGAAGTTTCGGGTTCGATCACGATGTCAGTAAGGGTGCATAAACGTTCGTTATCAAATGATTGAGAATCTTTCTAACAAATATTATCTTATATTTACGCATTACTAATAAAAAAACCTAAAACCATATATTTCTATTAAACTACCCTTAAACTTAAAATTATATCCAGACAAAAAGAGTTAAATGTGGATTTCCGAGCTATTTCTTGGTGGGATTTATTTACCTCGAAATTTATTTTAGGGCCAGAGTTAAATTATACTTTTTCTGAAATATCAAAATATATTTTTATAATTTTCCAAACTTATAATTATATATATATAATATGATTAAATTAAAATATTATTTTTGGGAGCAAAAGATAATTTTATTTTTAAAAAATTAAAAATGAAAATTTGCCATTCAAGGGAGGCTTGTCCGTTCAGTAGGGGTAGACTGAAGAGGTGTTGGAAGACGATGATATCCTTGAAAATTTTAAAATTTTATATATTTAAGGTATTTTGTTTGTATATTTTTATGATCTAATTTCACACAATTTGAAATTTTATAATTTTATACCCTTAATTTCTAATATACTTCTTAAAGGTTACACTCTCGTACAAAAATTATGTATCCATCCTTGTCTCGCCAGTCTCTTTCTCTATCTCTGCTCACAACCTTTAGATTATTTGTAACAGTAACGATATCAATTAAATTAAAATTTAACTGATAAAATATAAATTTATACATCTAATGTCATTCATCTAATTTAACAAATGTCTAATAGAAAAATTATAATTTAATTTATCTCATTCAATAATCATATTTAAACTTAAAAGTAATTATTTAATACGTTAATAGTATAAATATTATTTTTTACAAAACATATTTTGGATTATAAAAAAGCAATTGCCTTGGCATTGGTAGTAGGGTTGTTTTTTCCGTAACAAGTTAACTGCTTAACCTGCAAGTTGCAACTTATATCCTCTCTTTTAAATAATATAAATTATTATTTATTATTATTTGGCTTGCAATTTTTTAATGACTAATTATATTGAAGGTGGAATCGAAAATAAAGTTTATTTTTTATTAAATAAATAAATACCATGTTTTTAAAATAATTATTAAAATTTAAATTTATATAAAATAAGATAATATAAATTTTTATAATTGATAATAAAGTTAGTTTATTATTCATAGAGAGTAGATCATGAGTAAATGATTAGTATAGACATACGTATCCTTAAATTACTAACACAAATAAATACAAATATTGAGCGGTTGTGAGTTGTCTCCATATCGGAGTTTATACTCTTTATGATTAATGTACCTTGAAGCTGTAAACATCTTTATTTAATAGGGCAAACTACACCTTTAGTATCATAACTATTACTTTTGTTCTGTTTTGATCACTCGACATTTATTATTTTTGTTAAAAATTTATACCTAACATTACGCTTTGGTTTCATTTTGGTTACTTACCGTTAAAAAGTTAATAGAACTACTAACATGACATTTTAAAAAATTAAATGATGATGTGGCATTACTTTATAGTGACACGTCAGTATTACAGTTAATTTTTTAACAGTATGTGACCAAAATGAAATCAAAATGTAACATTAGGTATAATTTTGAAATAAAAAAGAATTAAATGACTAAACAGAAAAAATGTGATAACTGGAGCATTTGACGTGTAGTTTATCGTTTTTAATATTCTTTTTGTATAATGAAAATCAGAATCAGAATCAACAAAATATTCCAATCTTCCACCTCTCTCTGTCTCTGATTTTGTATAATGAAAATTAATAATTTATAAATAATAAATCAACTCAAACATCAATGTAAACACTCTGTCATTCATAGCATCAAGACTTTTCCCAATATGCAAAAATTATATATATAATCTATTTAACAAACACAAATAACATCTTCTTTTCGTTTTAATAAAAAAAATCAAATACAAATTGGATTCTTCTAGTTGGGTTAGGTTGCTCACACGTTTTTGTTTAGCTTGTGAATGTTTGATCATTAATTAATGTTAATTTATTAATTCACTACGTGATTAATATTTTACTTTTTTTTAATTAATCACTTATATTTAGAGCGACTATACACGTAATTCCTT